CAAGAAACAAATGAGAATGACATAGTAAAACTTCCATCTTCAATTATAGTTAACTATAATAATGAGACTGATGCAATTGAAAAGCTAATCAATATTGTGTATCCTGAATTTAAAGATCCTTCAAACAAACTGTATTGCTCACAAAATAGAGCAATTCTAACTACAAAGAATAACTTTGTAGATGAAATAAATGATCAATTGATCAAAAAATTTCCAGGAGATTTGACTGAGTACCTAAGCTATGATGAAACACTGAATGAAAATCATCAATCTGAATATATTGATCTTTTGAATACTCTTACGCCAAGCAATTTACCTCCACATAGGTTACTCTTAAAATCCAATGCCCCAATAATTCTTTTAAGAAATCTTGATCCTGCTGAAGGATTATGCAATGGAACTAGACTCATAATAAAGAGTTTGAGCAAGAATGTTATTTGTGCTAAAATTGCAGTGGGTGATTTTTGTGGCAAAGAAGTTTTTATACATAGAATTTCCTTGCAGCCACCAAGTGATGAACAATATCCAGTTCCATATAAGAGAACACAATTTCCAATTCGTTTGTGCTTTGCAATGACAATAAATAAAGCACAAGGCCAAACTTTAGATTTTGTTGGTATTTATTTGAAAGAACCTGTGTTTTCACATGGCCAATTATATGTTGCACTTTGAAGAGCCAAAACAGCTTCGGCTGTAAAAGTACTTATTAGGCCAGCTTATTTTGATGAATCATGCACTGATCATACTAAAAATATAGTATATAAAGAAGTTCTTGAAGCTTCCCAGATTACATTATCAGGTTTTAATATTCATGGCTTTTTTTTCAACTTTATTATTTTGTTTAATTCACTATCTAATTTCTCTACAAATACAGCCCATCATGCCTTGACATATATCTTCGGTACTAAACATTCAGAAAGGAGCAGAAAAGTGGACTGTTCTAGCACAAGTTGTTCACAAAGGCCACAGTCAATTAACTCGTGAAGTTCCACCTAGGCGAATTATGCGGTTTCTGCTCACAGATACTGAGGTCAGCAATTCTTTCCTATCTCTCTGGTCATTAATTAAATTCATAGATGAGAACATTTTAGATTCTGTATACGAACATTTTATGATTTGCCTCTTCATTACCACATGGTTGAAAACTTGCTGAAGCTGAGAATAAGGATGATTAGCACCACTTTTGACATAGTAATCAGTGAATTTAGACCTCTGATATCTTACTTATATCAACCTGCTCCTGAAGGGAATCTTGCTGTTCATTAAGTTTTTCTATCCAGCTAGCAAGTAGGCTTTGTTGGTCTAGAAGAAAAAGAAGAATGTTCTCAATCTGTGACATCAAAAAAAAAAGAGTGAATGAGAACTCAATTTTCAAACTTATACCAAAAAATTTTACCTTATACCGAAGTTATTCTTGCATTACAAACCTTTGTTATGAGCATATCACAAACATATACATATGCAATTCCAGTTTACCCTGTTATATTATTGCTTATTACATCTCACAAAAAACACACACACTAAACAGATAATCGAATTGTAGAAGCTTAAGGGGAGAAAAAATTGCATATTTCTGCTGGTCATCAAGACACGCTGTACCAGACAGCATGTGGGAGTATAATATGTTAATTCTCTAAATTTGCACAGGACTATTGAACTGGAACAATTGATATACTTATGGCAGTTAACCTTTTCATCTATACAAACCATAGTTTCATCTACTGATATCAAAACTATAGTTTCATTACAAGTGAATACTTGCCTAACTATTAAAGTATGCATTCCTATAATTTTAATTTCTGTGTCATAAATATAGTGTTAGCCATCAACATTATAGTTATAGCTACAACTCATAATATATATATAACTAACTTTTCCTAATCCTAATCAGGGAACAAAAGTTTCTGTTGTGACTTATGAACAACACATCAAGACCTTCAGCAAATTTCTGCAGCCTTATCAAAGATATTATGTTTCTAATGCAATTGTGGTTCCTGCTGACCCAACATACAGAGTTGGGACTTATGAATGCTCCTGGATTTTGAACTACAAGACTTTGATTGAAAATTATGCTGAACCTGTGCCACCTATGCTGCCTTGCATATTTGAGCTGACAAACTTCTCTGATCTGCACAAATATGCTGATTCAGATAACCTTTGCAGTAATTTTTGTTACATTATTTTTTAATTTACTTGACAGTCATTTGACATTTTATTGATTTCTTACATTCATATCAACACTTTTGTTTCAGATATTAGAGGCTTTGTCATTCACGCATTCCCAATAAAACAGCCAGATCCGGCTTCTATTTCTAGAGACATTATAATAGTGAATGAAGAGTAATCAAACCTGAATACTACCATTTTATTAACTCATTTTAGATTAATGGCAGTAGTTATAATTTATTTGTTATACCTGACAGGAAGAAACTGATGCTTATGACTCTCTGGAATGAATTTGAACATGATGAAGGGAGCAAAATAGCAGACATGATTAGCACTGCCCCTCTAATCATAGCTCTCCGTGTTAAAGTTACCACATTCAACAGTAAATTTTTCATTATGCATTATGATTTCTTTATTGTGTGTCTTTTAAGTACTTGATGTTATAATTACTAAACCATTTCATCATTTTTACAGCTTTGTCATTCACTACAAGGTATTCATCTGGAATTCTGATTAGTCCTCCACTTCCAGATGACCTATCTTTGAGGCAATGGTAAGTATAATTTTCTTTTTAGTTTTTTCCATAAATTATCAACTTATTTTACTGATAAATTTTGTATTTGTGCTCTAAACATAATCATTCAGGTTCAGCTTGAACAAGGAAGAAATCAGGAATTTGCTTGATGCTAAAACATACAATGATGCAAACTGTTTACTTCCTCCTCCAAATGAAGAAGATATCAAAGCAATCAGCAATTTTCAGGCATCATTTCCAGTTGTAAGTACCATATTGTTATTCTACAATTTTGGTTAAATATAACTATTTTCTGTCTAATTCACATTCAAATACCATTCATGGTTGCCTGCCTCAGCAAAAGGCAGCTTGGGTGCAAGGAACTGTCAAACTTGCATATGGATTCAGCAAATATTGGACTACAGCTTGTGCGAATTGTCACAAAATTGTGAATGCTGACATTGACTGGATCATCCACTGTCCTTCATGCAAACAGCAAAGTGAAGTTGAACTCAGGTTAGATCATTAACTTATGCTTCTAAATTAAATATTATTCGCATTTGTTACCATATATTAATCTTAATTCCTCCACTCAATTAAAGGGCTCGCATTCCAATTATTATAACTGATGCTTCGAGCTCAATACATTGCATTATATCTGGAGAAGATGCTGAAAAATTGATTGAGTTCACTCCATTGCAGCTTAAACAAGCACAAGAAGATGTAAGTATGAATTTTCTGTCTTATATTCAGGCATAAATACAGATATACATAGAAAGGAATTCGCTGAACCTAACTAAAAAAATTTTCTGGTGCAGGGCTTTCAAATAGATACTGAACTTAATGATGCCTTGAAAAAGTACACAGTGGTCTGTTTTCTGAAATCCTATGAGACTCCTTTCCAAGGTCAACTGCAGAAAAAGAATACTGTCATCAAGGCTTATACTGCAGCTGAACTATCAGACCGTCCCCTTCCTCTGGAACTTCCAGAAAACACTCAAGTTTCTTCTGCACTTGGCAGTTCATCAGCAAGGCATGCAGAAACATCATCAAAGGATCAATTGTTCACACCAAGCACAAAGTTGCTACTTGAAGAAATTGCTGGAGCCAGTTCTTACAAAGACAGCCAGACATCTGCAACCAGTGGAGCAAAAAGAAGCCTTGAATTTCCAGAAGATTTACCAGCAGACACAGATCCTAAACAACCAACAAAGGCTCCTGAAGAGTTTGCCAAAGAACCTGCAAAACCGTATGGTCCACCTACAAATATCAAAGACAGTCCAGCCAAGAAACCTAAAGCAAAGGAAGACTGATATGCCTGATTTCTGCACTTTTGTTATATCTTTTGTTCATTGCCTTGATGACTATCTTGATTGCTTAGACAATGCCTTTTGAATTATATTATGATCCATTATTCTTTTGACTTAGAAAGTAATGGATCCTAATATATCTATGAATGGTTTAACCATCAATGTTGTAACTCAATAGGCAATGAAGCCTATTTAAACCCCCTAATATGTAACTGTGGGTTGAACTGAAGTGTGTGTTTTGCTAAGACATGAATGTTTGAGTTTATGTAATCTATGGTTGTGATTTGCATATTCATTATTTACCTCTTCATTTTTCAGTTGGTCATATCATATATATACATATATGGTCCTGATTGCCCAGGTGTGATTAAGTTGTTTGATCATATCAGTGGGTAGGCCGTGCAATGCACGGCCAGAATCATGCTAGTTTCACAGATAACGAGTAAATTGTTGGCTATGTAGCTGACGTGCAGTATATATGCCCTTTGCAAGAAAATCTTCATGACCAAATCAGGAAATCCAAAATGTCTACTCATTTTAGATGGCACTTTTTCGACAATATCGTGTTTTTTCTTTGCATTTTTTCTGCCGTAAAGTGTTTGGATAGCAGGTTTTTTTAAATAATATTTCGCTTGTATCATAGACACATTTTTTAATATACTTTTTTATATTCGTCACCACCTTTTTACCTCACATACATCATACCACATTACAAAAAATATTACAGTAATTATTTCAAATAATATTTTAAATAATGTTCTATCCAAACAACAATTGTTATAAATGTCGAAGGACATTCACTAACTCATAGGAAATAGTCACGGGAAGACAGTCATGCCAGAAACACATAGATGTATGTGAAATACATAATACTTTTTGTGATATAATGTTTGTGAAATAAAAAGGTAATTAAAAATATAAAAAAGTGAGAAATTACGTGAAATAATTCACCTATCCAAACACTGTCTGACAACAAGATTTTTGGTTTTTTTTTTTTTTTTTTTGGGGGGGGGGGGGGGAATGGGGTTGCGTTTCAAACTCAATAGCTCTTGAAAACCAACATTCCTAACATTATTGACAGAAGATATGGTGGGGAAACATGAGATGGACTGGAAGCCGATGGTTTGAGCACCGGTCTGATGCCTGGATTTGCCACTGGACCTAATGCTACCACGGGAGGAGATGCTGGTGCTGCTATGTTGTCTGGAGTTGTTTCAACTGGAGATGGTGCAGCCACTACTGTTCCGATGGAAGCTGTAATATATTATGTCAGGATCCAGTGCTCGCCTGACAATAGATTTAATGGAATAAATGCAATGCATTTTGCATATTACCTTTGGGACTAAGCGGGGAAGAAGATACAGGTGCCCGCGTTGGCCGAAATAAAGCAGGTCCTGTCGACGGAAAGCATACATGTATTGTTTGTCAACATGGGAAATTACATAATCATCAGGAGCACAAGCACGCTATTCGTCCCTCACAATCATATTCAGGCAAAAGTGCAATGCATTTTGCATATTACCTTTGGGACTATGCGGGGAAGAAGCTACAGGTGCCGGCGTTGGCCGAGATAAAGTAGATCCTGCCAACGGAAAGCAAACATGTATTGTTTATCAACATGGGAAATTACATAATCATCAGGAGCACAAGCACGCTCTTCGTCTCTCACAATCATATTCAGGCAAAAGTGCGATGCATTTTGCATATTACCTTTGGGACTCAGCGGGGAAGAAGCCACAGGTGCCGGCGTTGGCCGAAATAAAGCAGGTCCTGCCAACGGAAAGCAAACATGTATTGTTTGTCAACATGGGAAATTACATAATAATCATCAGGAGCACAAGCACGCTCTTCGTCTCTCACAATCATATTCAGGCAAAAGTGCAATGCATTTTGCATATTACCTTTGGGACTCAGCGGGGAAGAAGCCACAGGTGCCGGCGGTGGCCGAAATAAAGCAGGTCCTGCCAACGGAAAGCAAACATGTATTGTTTGTCAACATGGGAAATTACATAATAATCATCAGGAGCACAAGCACGCTCTTCGTCTCTCACAATCATATTCAGGCAAAAGTTACGCATCCAGATTTTAGACTGGATTTACTCTTGGAATCGCAAAGTTCTGGTCATGATTATATCTATGGTGCAAGAAATCTTGAATTTGAGTCGAAGAAAATGAGTTGATACAGGTGGGATCCGGGACAAGATTTTACTAATTGTTACTCCATTTAGTTTGAAGGGGTACCTGGAGCGGGTAAAGGAACGCCAGTGGCTGCAGAAAACGTAAGAAAGGAAACCATTAGTTTGGCAGGAACAAATGCAGATGTTGCGTTTGGTTCTCTTTTAGAATTGGAAGTATATTGCTCATATAGCTTAATTTGAATGCAAAATGATTCTATTTCTGATGGAGAAGAAATGCTAAGAAAAAGGTGGACCGTAGGAGAGGCTGTACCTTTGCAGCGTAATGGCACACCAGTTTTGCATGCTCGTGGGAGTGAAATTACCAAGGGTCGGCTAATAAAAGGTACTGAAACAGGGACGTTTCCTGTTACTATTAAGCATCCACACTCAACGCTGTCAGTCATGAGGGATTTTAGCGAATCACAGCATTGGGCAGTCGGCGACCCCCCATTTGCACTGCTTCCGGTGAGGTAATTTAAGCAGGGGGTGAAGCTGCTGATAATTGAACTTGTACACGGCGTGCTAATTTGACCATTTGCCTTAAATTTCGAGAGAATAACTAGAGTGAGAACGACTGCTTTCAGTAGGGGATTTTTCTCCATGCTTTGAATTGAGAGAATTAAGATAGTAACAACCCCCAACTGCTCTTTCTTGAACAACGGATTGCAGATCAATTGGGCTTTAATAGAATTCAATTGAACGTATTGAAGCGGATGATTTGTAGACTTGATTGTTCATGGGGATTTGTAGGCAAAATAGCTGGTAGATTTGAGGTGGGTTATGGAGCTCAACTACTTTAAACTAATTGTTTTTAGCGGGCAAATCTTCCATGCACAGTTTTGACCTGAATGAAAGATGGGTGTTGGAGAACTTGTAGAAGTGACTAATGGTACTCAAGACTTGTAGTGTACACTTAACTTGCAGCGCAATTTGATGAAACCAAACCTGCTATTTCTGCAGTAGCAGAATATCGTGACTTAGGATGCACGGAATCATATGAACAATAAATAAAGATTTGAGCTTAGAATGGAACTGTGATGATCAAGATGCATCTGCCATTAGTTGCTAATTCCTGCATATCATCAGAACAGTGGTTAAAAAGAACAAAAAGAAAATGAAGAAGAGAACTCTTGAGCTATTATTTTGGGCAAAAAGTAATGGGCCTGGAACAAAGCTCAAAAACCGTGACGAAATTACTAGGTAGGGATGCCGATTTAAACTTCTAACAACGGTAAGAGATGACTAATTGGTTCAAGGAGATCAAATTATGTATATCTTCTCAGAAAAGGGAAAAAGGAAAAAAGAAAAAACTGTAGACATTTCTTATGCATTCGTTATTTGCTGTTCCAAAAAAGAAAAAGAAACATGGATTGCTAAGTAAATATTTTTAGTTCTAATTCAGCCCCAATTATATAGAATATGGCTTATAGTTTATAAGATAACATTAAGTAGAACATTAAAATGTTTATTTTACATATTTATAATACTATAGTTGACGAGGGCTTAGCCCCCGTGTTAAAAATATATATATACTAATTGAAAGTTGAAACTTATAACTAATTGCATGACCTATTGAGAAAAACATGAAAAATCGTTCAAAACATCTCTTACATTTCAGCAAATAAATTTTTTCATCCCTTATTTTAAAATGCTGAACTTTACATTTCTTACAAAATCATGTCGATCAATTTTGATCCCTAGGTTTCCAACTAAGTTTTGGCATGAGTTCATCTTGTGACCTATACGTAATCATTGTTTTAGGGACAACAAGATTAAAACTCATCTTTTTAAGGGCAAAAAATGGATATGAGTTGGGTAATTTATTTAACTACAAATCTTTTTTAGGAGCAAAAATGAATGTGGGTCGAGCAATTTGTTTAACTACAAATATCCGACCTTTTTGCACATAAAAATGACTATATATGGGTCATATGGTGTATTGAAATTAAAAAGTGATCAGAAACCTGAGTTTGAACCAAATTTGAAGTTAGCATTTTAAAATTTAGGGATGAAAAATTTTATTTTAGTAAAATGTGAAAGACATTTTGAATGATTTTTTTTTTTGAAAAACATCACTAACATTTGATACAAAATATTTTAAAAACGTTTGATACCATATAAAAAAGTATTTCTAATTACTTTTATATTCAGTGAAAGAATTACAGAGGTAATTCTAATTACCAATCTTATATTCTTGTGCAGTATTGATTCTCTATCAAACCGAAGGAGGGAAATACTCATATGCAAAACATCAAGTATAGCTAGAAAAATAAGCCTCTTTCTAGAACCTACGTCTCAAAAACACCAATTATTTTATATAGCTGCCGCATGTGAGGAATTTTAAGTTAGTCCTTGTAGAGAGGAATTTTGAGTTAGTCCCTGCAGAGTTAGTTGATCTTTCGTTGACTGTTACTACGGAGGATACTGCAGGTGTTTTTGGTGGAACGCTTGAAACATTACCCATGGACCTGAAATCTCATCCATGGTAGATATTACAGGGATAAGCAAGTTTTGTGTTATGACCCAATCTGATAAGTAGACCAATTAGTTTCAAGAGGAATGTGTAACTACTTTATATGCTGAATCTATATATAGGAGATTGGATGTAATGAAGATCGGTTTGTATGTGAATTGTAATCTCCTCATCCAAACAATCAATTTTACTCTGTTTTCTCCTTATTCTGAACTCTATCTTTCCTATCATTTTTGTTCTCTTCTTCCCCCATGCTTCTTCTCTTTCCTCTCTTTCTATCTTCCTCAGTTCCTTAATTCTTCAGCCCAAATCATTACATTTTGCTCTTTGGGCACTTCGGCCTTTAGTTATCTTTTTTCAAAAAAATAGCTCATTATACATATATATATTATTAGAATTAATCTTTCCTACACTGATACTGTCAGTATTAGATGAATGACAAATATGTAAATTTTAAATTTAAAATTTAACTTTTGTACATATATAATGAATTCAACAATGATAATATATACAATATCAGTACACGTAAGATTTACTCATTTTGTTATTATTGTTGTTGTTCCTATCCAGCAAAAGTATCTACACCAATCTTGGGCTTTAGCTATCTCTCCTGTCACGTTCACTATTGCTTGCCAAGGCCGATAGCTATCGCTCGTGCGATTCGAGGGTACACATTCACCATTACCTATCGAAGGCAGTCGAGGACATTCACCATTAACAGGTCGGGCTTTTGAAATGTCCAAGCCTAGGTCCATATGAAAACATCATAATCAGGTTGGGTTTTTAAAAAGGAAGGCCCAAACTCAATTCTTTATGATATCAGGTTTGGGGCAAAATAAACGAAGTGGCGTCAATTCTAAAATTCATACTTTAAGATAATAAGATAATAAAAAATCCTACTTACATTAAAAAAAAATCACCAAAATTACAAACTTTTAATTAAATACAACAAAGTTTAAATAATTAACACGAGAATTATCTTAATTGGGATTACAAACTTGGTAAATAATGTTAAATTTTAAATAATTAGTAATATATACTGTAAATGTTAATATATTTAACAAATATCTATATTTATTTCTTTTAAACTCATTATAAAAAGACATGGGCGGGATCACATTGGGCTGAGTTTAGGCAATCCATTTTAACATTGGGCCTATTCTTCAAGCTCAAACCAATTCAGTTCATATACCAATTTAGCCCAGTATTTAAATTTTAGGCCCGGATGCCAGAGCCTGGCCCCTTTGACATCCTAGGTACGACTATTCAAAAAGAATAAGAAATCAACCTCACGATTTTTTGCAGAATTATTCTTTTTATAAAGACTTCACTTTATTTACTCAAATAGACACCCTCTAAATTATCTAAATCGTTTATTACCTTTTTAAATTACTCCCTAATTTTCATTAAATTTCTTTCATTCTCTAATTGCCCCTTACAAAAGTAAACCTTTTACCTATACTATATTAATAACCTGGGAAATATGGAAAATTCACAAAAAAAAAAAAAAACTTTAATGACAACTAAAAATTTGCATTATTAACTAGTAAGTAGCACTTACAATGGTAAATAATTAGCACATAAAATGGTTGTCACTAAGCCTCTGTGTCGTGGCTAAGCATACGAAGACATTCTTGTATTGCATATTTCTTGCCCCTTAACTTCTCGAATTTGTACTCTGCTAATATTCTTCGGCTAACAAGTTAAGGCCGCTACCATTGGAGTTCTTGGAAGTTAATCAATTTTTTTGCCAAATTTGAAGAAAATACTAGATCCAATTCCAACTCTTTCCTTACCTGCCCTTTCCTCTATTTATCACTCCCTCAACCCCAACAATGCCTTTCATTACAGTGCAGAAGTTTTTTACGTAGCACATTGGAGCCATGTAATGAAGTTGTATATACAGCCTATCAACTTTGAGCAAGCTATAGTCAATCATGAAATATTATTCTTTTGCACAAAATGAACAGTCATTTGAGCAAATGAAACATTACTATAAACATAACCTGAATTCAAAGAAGCAATATAGGTTTTCAAATAAATTGTTTAGTTATCAAACAGCCTTGTTCAGTTGGAAGTTGGCGAGCTAAAGCACCTAATATCCATTTTGTTTATTCCCAAGCAAACCTCATTGTATTTAAGTCCCTGCCCTGCGCTAGAACCTCATCGCTCAATTTCGAACATCAAATACCAGCATCTAATAATGCCTTATTAGAAGCGTCAATTGTCGGCATATTCCTGCAGGTAAGAGTAATCAATTCAAGGAGCTAGCTGGGAAAGGCTTCCAAAGTGACTCAAATGTGTCTTCTTGCCATAGTCCTTGTTGTGATGCGCTTGACTGGAGCTTTAGCTCAGTCAGGGTGCACCAGCGAGCTCACCAGCTTGTATCCCTGTCTAAGTTACGTCACCGGAAGTTCATCTAAGCCGAGCTCGACCTGCTGTTCACAGCTTGCTGGCGTCGTGTCATCAAAGCCGCAGTGCCTCTGCTTACTTCTAAATGGTGGTGGATCCTCCGTGGGTATCAACATCAATCAAACTCTGGCTCTCTCGTTGCCTGGTGCTTGTCAGGTGCAAACTCTCCCAAGCAGCAAATGCAACGGTAACAGTATGAAACTTTTTTTTTTTTTTGATTAATCATCTGTCTTTATATATATACATATATAGAACCAATCTAAGACGTAAGTAACATTAGCAGCTGGAAATGTACCAACTTCTTCAACCGCTACACCAGCAACTTCTCCTCCAGCAGAACCGTCAAAAGGATCACCTGACACTCCGAAGATACCATCAGTGTCAGATACTCCAGCAGGTAATTATTCATTGGCGCATTTCAATTTTGAAGTCGATCTATAGGTGTACATTTGTTTGTCTTTTCGCTTTTCTGTGTTTTGGGTCCATAACCCTCTCTAAGGAAAAGTTTGTTTCAAGTGTTGAAATGCTGTGTTAATGCAGGAAACGGGTCGAAAACAGTCCCTGCGACAGACGGTTCAACATCTGCCGGAAGCAACATTAATGCCTCATTCCCACTTATAGCTCTCTTTCTCTTCGTTGCGTCCTGCGTTCTATCTGGAGCAGGGTTCTGAACATTAATTGGACAATGCCTTGAATTGTAGGTGACGATTAGTATCGTAATAATGTCTCCTTTCTCTGCCATGAAGGAACAGAAGACCATTGATTCCATATTCTTTCTTCATCGTGTTCAATTCTTGGAGTGACGGTGATTGGCCTAGTGTGTGTGTGTGCGTGTGTTTTTAATACATATAAAAAAAATCTGCTTTTGGGATTTGATTTAGTAGGAGTCGGATGGCTACTGCTGTACCTGGATTAATTATTTATGAAAAGATAGTTAGTATCTATTACTTTCTTTTGTCATCATAAGAAGATGAGCCGAACCCATTATTCAGAATCAATTTGTATATTCAATCCATTAGCATGCATACACACATCTGGCTTTCAAGAACTTCAAAACATGGCAATAATCAGATTAATGAGGCAGATAAGTGGCATCAACCCCAAAATGGACCGAAATCTGATCCATCACCTTGCACCAGTCCTACATAACACGTTTCATCCGCAACTCTGACAGACTGATACCACGACTCCTTAAACCGCTTGATTTGTGACTTAATTAATTGTTAAAGTTAATTAATTTCATCCCCGCTAATACGAGACATTTTTTGGGCACTATTCAGTAACCAATCGGGTGAAACTATAAAGGACTGACTTCGGGGGGTCAAAACTGTGGTGTGGATCATTGTAAAATGCCGGCGTTAAAGCCGGCATTGCGCCTTGTGCCTGAAAAGGCCGAGACTTGAGACATTTCATTTGTTGCGATGTTGATATATATATATATATATATATATATATATATAAAGTACTGTGGCAGCACTTTGTTTTCGAACTTAAAACGATCCCAACTTCCGTGACAGGTTGCAAACCCGCCAATGGGAATGTAATATATTGTTGTGTTCTTCAGAAAGACTTGATCAAAACAAGGACTTTTTTGTTTCAATCCTTCATCGGTATCTTCAAAATTTTCAGAATAGTGTTAAAGCAATATATGCATCTGGTTGTAATTTTTTTTTTCACTTAGGAATATCCTAATCTTTTGATCATGCTAATTCTCTAAAACTATGTAGAGTCTTGTCTAACAATAAAGCCATTACATTCTTCATCTTCTAGGGTATGGGTGGATCATACCACCAATATATATATATATCAGAAGCTCCATGTTTCTGGAAAATGACCAATTCCTAGTTCAGAATTGGAAAATCTGTTCAATTAACTACTCATTATTTACACCAAAAAATTACCACATCGTTTTTGTAGTCATCAAATCTTCTCAAAGGATTTGACTCTGTACATGAAGTTACTACTCAACACTCTTCATGGCAAAGGCACTGCACAGTTAGACCTCCATTGTAATATTCGTCATTTCCTCAATAAACTTCTGTTGCTGATTCCGAAGGATTTGAGGCCACATTCTTTAAAAAGCTATCACTAGTCGAGCTTGAAGTTGCTTTGCCCTAATTCCTCCTCCTCCGATACCTTTCAATGGAATGATTTTGCAGGTGATGTTGGGAATTTAAGCAAATCTCCTTTTTGCATATAAACTCTACCTTTCCAGTTTTGTAAATCATATGCCATATAGTTGTAGGCTCGGTAAACATTTTGATTGGGATGTTGAATACCTACTTTCCATTTTAAATATTATTTTTCTGCCTTTTATTCAAGCTAAATATAGAAAAAGAAAAGAAAGCGATTTCTCAGAACTCATAATCCCTGATTTCCAACTCTGATTACGGGCAAAAGCAATAATTCGTCTTGCATATGTTATTGGAAAAGTCGATTTGGTGCAAGAGGACCCCATTCTTGCTCACTAATTGATGAATGGGACTACCTGCTCCCGTCAAAGAGTAGAGTCAAGTATCCATTCAGTTGTAAGGTACAACTAAGAAGTTCACCAAATACATAATTTAAAACTCTCGCTATCGCAATGACATAACAAGCTTCGAAATGTACAATTCCAAAACTTGGCTTTCGAAACCATTTTCCTTCCAATCAAAAAACAAAAAGAAACCATTTTCCTGAATTTTTTTGTCACTTAATCTTCAACATCTTCGCACAGTTTAGTTAACGAAGATACACTGATTTAGGAAAAGTTGGCCAACCAGATTACCAATCAATACCATCTCCCCTCGAAATTTCTTGTATAAATGCATTGCCATGTTTCGGTTGACAGCACCCCATTCCCAGTTCTGACAATCAACACACCTTGATTTCAAGCCTAACTGCTTAAACCATTTTCTCCCTAATTTTCCTGGAAGAAGTTGAGACAATATTCATCATGGCATCGAAAAGAACTGAGACGTGCTTGGTCCTGGTTCTAGTGCTCATCCTATCGCTATGGAGTGGAGCAAAAGCTCAATCAGGTTCCAGCTGCGCTAACACACTCGTGGGCTTGTCCCCGTGTCTAAGTTATGTCACCGGAAATTCATCAACACCATCTCCAGCGTGTTGTACACAGCTTGCCGGCGCGGTTCAATCGGCCCCGCGTTGCCTTTGTACTCTGACCAATGGAGCCAGCAATTTTATGGGTCTCAATATCAATCAAACTCTTGCCCTCGCACTTCCTGGAGCCTGCAACGTGCGAACCCCTCCAATTAGCCAGTGCAATTGTCAGTTCCTTTTTTTTTTTTTTTTGACTAAATGATCATACTGTTTTATACGATTATTATGTAATGAGTAATGATTTTGAATGGGCTAACGATGCCGCTGTTCACAGCTGCTGCTAATGGACCAGCAAGCTCTCCAGCAAGTTCGCCAGCGGCTGCCCCTGCGGCAACCTCTCCAGCAAGTCCTTCAGCGGACGCTCCTCAGACAACCCCGGAGAGTCCAACTACACTTCCGGCGAATCCAACTACAGCTCCTCCCCTTCCTTCAGGTACACAAAACAGTTCCAAGCATAAATGCAATTATTAATTTTCCCCTGAAGTTTCAAGTTACCAGCAAGTCTTGCGTAACTACTTCGACTTATTTCTTTCCGACTGTCCTCTCCAAACCCAGTTAATTAAAGCTTAATCTTCCATCTACTTTTCCGGCGAGAAAAGAAAAGAAATGCATGTAACTAAACTAGTTCAATGCATCAATAATATGATGCAGGAACTGTTAGTGAAATAATAAAAGATATAGGCTGATACACAATAGAGAAGAATAAATACAACCCAGAAAGAAAGAAATGATTGAAAATAACAATAATAACAACTGTCTCCCAGGATACAACGGATTAAAGGTGAGTATGTCAGCACCCAACGTTCTAGCGAACTCGAACTTAGAGCAATATGAAACACTTCAAAAGATGCAAGAAGGAAAAAGAGAGAGAGCGCATTCTTTTGAAACAAAAGAGATATTTATAGATGCTAGCGACTGTTAGAAATTGGCAACAAGTGTTAAATTCCAGATAATTATCTTCACGTTTATCAAAGGATCACATTCATGTACATACATGTATCTCAATAAGATAACCCCAAATGAATCCTATCCAAAATCATGTATCAATAATTAATACACATGAATCCTATCCAAAATCATGTATCAATAATTAATATACATGATAGATAATTATCCTGAATTCTTTCAAGAGTGCCATTATGAGAACAATTTTCTCATTCACTCTACAATGAATATAGCCATTTTTCCAACAGGAACAACATCAAAGGCAGTCCCAGCAGCCCCTGGAAGCACATCTGATGGAAGCCTCGTGAAGCCAGCTCTTTTCCTCCTCCTCGCTGCATTGGCTTCAACTGCTGTCTTCGATTTGTGAACTTCTTAATTGCGGACTTGATTCATTCTCGATCTGTTATTGCTAATGAGCGGCCCCATCCCCCCATCTTTCCAGCTGACCAAGTGGTGGTTATTTATAGTAATTTCTTTTCCTCTGGCCTGGAGGCTACTTCGGGGTTACCTATTTGTAATTGCTGCTTATTTCTATGGAATTTCACGAAATTTGTTGTGTGTTGAATGAATAAAAGAACATGGATTATTTTTTCACGAAATCTGTTATCCTATTTTTGGCTAAATGGCCCTAGATAGAACCCATAAACGTACATGGGACATGTTTCATAAACATTGGTCAAGATGAAAGCATTCGCCGGCAGTTCTGTAAGAAGTGTTGAAAATCCATTTCTGCAGCCAATTGTCACAAGGCAGTACTATGAAACTCTCAAGAATGCAATGACACTTGTGAGAATCATATTTTGCTTATGCTAGATATAGAATGTGGAAATATAGGCAAACTAATTTAGTCAACCATACACAAAGTTGAATCAATACTTGTTCAGAGTCGAGCCATATTTATCCAACGTTGCGGGTCAAATCTGTTCGCAAATGCTGAGGAAAAATGAAGTTTCTTTTTTTTTTTTTTTTTGCCCATGAGATTACCGTTAAGTCACGTAAATATTCCAAACTCCATTTTCAAAATACAAACTTTTTTCCCCAAGAAATGAGCATGAAACATTCTGAACACCAAAAACCATCGTCCAAGAAAAGGTACAAAAACATTAAATCTCTAATATTAAGACATCAACCCCCCGAACCCACCTCTCTGAGAAATTTTATCTGATACATAGATGGTTTGGAATGGATCATGATGGATATGGAATTTGATTGGTAAGTAGTTCAACTCAACCATGGGTTGCATCAAGAATTTTTAATAAAGTCGATGTCATCTTGTGAGATTGCAGTCTCCTTGTACCATAATTCGACTAATCTGAATTGATACCACATAAAATTTTTTTTTTTAAATCTGAAATCTTTGAATACTGTCTGCACGGTTTGCACCGCAGTGAATGAATGGCCAAGCCTCCTTACCCAGAAAAAAGACAAAAAGAAGAAGAAGAAGAAGAAGAGGAAGAGGGAAAGTCCAGTACGTACGCGCATGGTACATACGCTCTGGACATCCTTGGCTTTTACAATCAAACGAAAGAAGCTATCAAAAATAAAACAAAAATAATCGTACAAGCTTGTGTTGGAAACGTGTAATGGTCCAATATTAAAAAAATGTTTCAATTCACAAATAAATCTATGAAGTCACACGCATTCATAAGCTTCTCCAAGTAAATTGTTTGAAAAAGGCGACAAATTTTGTTGTTTACCAAAGTATCTATAAGAAAGCGGAATAAGTTTGTGATCCAAAAGGCCTTGATCCTCTGTCTTTCACTCTGTTTCTGTAAATCACAAAGAAATTTCAGTGGCAGATCAGTATCCCATTTAACTTTCAGAATTCAAGAAAGCCGTGCATACTCCGCAATATTCCACATTGACAACTTACAACAATTAGAA